GTGTGTGTGTGTGTGTGTGTGTGTGTGTGTGTGTGTAGTGTGGTGTATATTTGGAGGTGGGGACCCTTTGAGAACTGTGTGCAACAAAATTTCATTTTAATGTATGCCGATTAGTGTACGTTCAAAATGACAATAAAGTTGTTACTCTATTCTATTCTATTCTATTCTATTCTATTCTATTCTATTCTATTCTATTCTATTCTGTTCTGTTCTGTTCCGTTCTGTTCTTTACTCTCTCCTCTCCCCCCTTCCCTTCACTTCCCACCCCATCCCATTCCTTATTCTATTCCCATTCCATTCCATTATTTCTTCATTGTTCTCCTCTCTTCCCTTCCCTTTTCCTCTCCTCTCCCCTCCCCTCCACTCCCCTCCTCTTCTCTCTTCTCTTCACTCCCCTTCCCTTCCAGTATCCAAATTAAGACAAAACACGGAGAAGGCTACAGATTTTGCCTGGATACTATACCTAGCGTTCTCACAACAATCCATTGGATTCCTAGTGCGAAGGACCGCTGCCTGTCGGAAACACACCTAGGACACATAAAACAAACATTTAAAAACAAAGGCAAGCAGGATCAGCGCCACAGAGTGATTTGAATGCAATCGTTCTGTATTTTCCCCCATTGCCATTAAGCGTGAGAATGAAAACCACACAGGGATGGGTACAACGAGCTGGACAAAGGCTAGGCATCTCTTGGGAGGTGGGGCAAGCAGAAGTGACAAAGGTGTGTTGTAACGCAAATGCCATCCCATAGGTACAGGAAGTCCTCCACTTAAAGCAGTTCATTTAGTGACGGTTTGAAGTTACAAAGGCACAGGAAAAAAGTGACCCATGGCCATTTTTCACAGTTACGACCATTGCAGCATTCCCATGATTCAGGAGTGAAATGCTGAATAAATTTAAAATACTTTAAAAAGTTTTTTAAAAAGTTCTGATGATCGCATGTAGCACATCCAAAAACGGGAGGTGGGCAGGGCCAAAAATGGGCGGGGTCCATTTTTGCAAAGAGGGAAAGAGAGAGAGACAGAGACAGAGAGAGAAAGAATGAAGGGAGAAAGAAAGAGAAAGAAAGAAAAAGAGAGGGAGGGAGGGGAAAAGGAAAAAGGAGAGGAAGAAAGGAGTACAAACCTGGCACTAGACACAGCTTCAGATAACAATACAGGGCTGGAATTCACCTGGAGGTCATCTAGTCCAACCCCCTGCTCCAGCAGGACATTGTTAAAATGAGTTTCTGTCTTTTGATCCCCCAGTTACATGACTACATAGTTACATGACCCCCACCAAGCCACGCCTACCAAACCACACCCACAGAACCGGTAGTACAATTTTTTTAGATTTCACTACTGCCAGGATCACATGATCAAAATCCAGACCCTTGGCAGCTGACATTTACGATAGTTGCAGAGGGGGTATTCAGACGGTTCGGGCTGGTTCACCTGAACCAGTACTGGAAATCACGGGTGGGCTCCACCTGCCTCGGCTCCATGCTGTCCTATTTAGGCACATTTTTTTAGCCGGGCGCATGCGCAGAAGGCACGTGTGTGAGCAAAGCACATGTGCTGAAGGCTGGGAGCATGCACGGCGAACCATGGGTAACAAAATGTGGAACCCACCGATGGATGGTTGCTACGTCCCAGGATTATGTGATCCCCTTTGCACTCTTCTGACAAGCAAAGTCAACGGGGGAAGGCAGACTCACTTTAACAACCTTGTCACTCACTTAACAACTGCAGTGATTCCCTTAACAACTGTGGCAAGTAAAGTTGCAAAATGGGGCAAAACTCACTTAACAATTGTCTCACTTAGCAATGGACACAACCATGGACTCAACCATGGTTGTAAGTCAAGGACCACCTGTACTTGGGCACACTGATAGGTCTCCACATTATAGGTTAAATATGTCCTTAAACACAATGGTGTATCCACAGACATGGGATGGCTTCACCCCATATGATTCATTAGAATGATAAGAGTTACGTAGGTGGTTAGATGGACTGATTCATTTGTCACTCGGGATGTTATAGGAACTTAGGCAATAGTTTTAAGCAGGTTGTTTAACCAGACTATCCCACTTACTATATCTGTGGTCACCATATATAACATACAAAAGGTAAAAGTTGCCCATATGTGCTAGTCGTTCCCAACTCTAGGGGGCAGTGCTCATCTCCGTTTCAAAGCCAAAGAGCCAGCACTGTCCGAAGATGTCTCTGTGGTCATGTGGCCGGCATGACTAAACACCGAAGGCTCACGGAACGCTGTTCCCTTCCCACCAAAGGTGATTCCTATTTTTCTACTTGCATTTTCAGACGCTTTCAAACTGCTAGGTTGGCAGAAGCTGGGACAAGTAATGGGAATTTACTCCGTTACGTGGCACTAGGGATTCGGACCGCCGAACTNAAAAAATTACCTAAGAAAGATTTCACATTTTTAATCAACAAACGATGGGTTGGCTAGACGACATTTATACCATTTTTATAACAAAGAAGCTTTTACACCAGCTTGAATGTGTGGTCCAGTGCTCAGTTGGCTTATTTTGTGCTTTGTAAAGGAATGGTATAAATTTATGTTTAGCCCTTCTTTAAATAAATTAATACTGTAAGAAGTGGAGAGAAAAAAAATGGCACAAATCTTGAGGTCAGATCTGGTGTTTAAATACAAGATCAAAGCTCTCCATAAATGAGCAAGTTAAAAACAAAACAAAACTCCAACTTCTTGCATCCTGCAACTGTTGTCGCTTTCCATTTTCTTTTTAATATTCCAAGACCATCTCGGAATTGCAGTCCAGATCCGGGAGAAAATGAAGCTCATCTCTTCAAGATCCTTAGCTCCCCCTTTTCACGGCGGATAGGCGAGGATTCAAGTTTTGCCATGTGCTTTTACTGCTTGTGAAAAAAAAAAAACCACAAACGCACAAAAACTAATAATAGATCTTCACAAAATTGTTTTTCCCTGCAAAAAGGAGGAAAAGAAGGCAAATCTGCAAGAAGAAGAAGAGACGAATCAGACATTCGTTCGCCAGTTCCTGGGCAATTATGAGAAAGTGGTTTTGGGATAGCCCAAAGGCTATACGTCGCCCTCCGAAGGCCGATGCGAAGATTTACTCTCCTGGAGATCACAGGTTCCATTTTCAGAGACAGCCGAGCTGCCGTGGAGGGATTCAGGGGAAGGGGCTTTGTAGAGCATGCAGGCTAGTAGGAAGAAACACGAGCCCATCACCTGTAAGACATCCAAATTTGGGGTTTTAATCTTTCAGCAAGAACGCCGCTCCTACGTACCCCCCGTTTCTTAGAATACAAAAAAACAAAAAAGATAATCGGAGCAGGAATTGATTGGCTCCTTGGATGAACCAAACAACTCTAAAAACATTAGCACGATGCCTCCTCCCCAGATTTCAAAGTACAGTTAGCCCTCAACACGTGGGGTCCTTGGTGCTCTCTGAGCTTGCTTGTTTTCTTGCAGACGTTTCATTACCCAACTAGGTAACATCATCAGCGCTAGTGCCAACTAGCTGCGTGATAGATAGATAGATAGATAGATAGATTGATTGATTGATTGATTGATAGAAGATAGCTAGATAGAAAGAAGATAGATAGATGGATAGATAGAAAGGAGAGAGATTGGTGGAAAGAAGATAGATAGATAGATAGATAGATAGATAGATAGATAGATAGATAGATAGATAGATAGATAGAAATAGATAGATCATTTAGAGATAGAAAGAAAGAAAGAAAGAAAGAAAGAAAGAAAGAAAAAGAGAAAGAAAGAAGAGAGATTGGTAGAAAGAAGATAGATCATTTAGAGATAGAAAGAAAGAAAGAAAGAAAGAAAGAAAGAAAGAAAAAGAGAAAGAAAGAAGAGAGATTGGTAGAAAGAAGATAGATCATTTAGAGATAGA